CGATCTAATTTTAGAGACCATTTTCGTCGACAGGTGTTTCGTTGACAGAATGACTAGCAGGTGTATTTGTAGCTGTCACTTTACCTATCACAAACCTTAGTTAGTATCCTTGATTTGTCCGTGTCAGTATTTTTGTGATCATGTATGTCATCAAAGTGGTATATTTCATCTCTCATTACACCAAACACACTCACTCATTCACTCACATCTAAGCCAAAGTTAATCATGTCAACCGTTTTTAAGAAAACATTTCAGGTGTAACATAGAGTCCACTAATGTCAGGTTCAGTTTGAAGCTGGACATAGTAAGGTGGACGCATTGGACTCTAACTTGTCAATTGAGGCTCGCATGTTATCCCCTTTACTTGCATTGCATATTAAAGTATGTATAGGTCAGGAATGTGGTGAATATATTAACAATGAACTGTGTCCAGGTTACTCACGAGACATTTTCAGGTACATGGTATTTTATGGAAATAGCGAGACTATATTGATAATATATACCAAAGTATTGTGGCCGATGTGTTGAGTTTCCAGAATAAATAGGGGTATTATTTTGTAGAATTAGACGCATCATAGTTGAAAACATACCTAGCCACACTGAAAATGTTCAAAGTGTGCATAACTATTAAGGTACAGACAAAATATGGACTTTTAAAAAGAAAATTGGCATACATGTTGCATTTTCGGTGTCTCGCGTGTTTTCTTCTTGGTTAACCCAAGGCAACTGACCATGCACCTGTCTGTGCTTGTATCACCATTTAAACACTTTTATACCTGTTATCTATCCACTAATGAGTAATGGAACAGCGACAGTGTTTGACGCTGCCCATGCTATCGATCAGTGGAATGTACCCGGGTATTTGCATATCGTCGTCATGGCGCATGAATATTGCTGACTACCAAACCAACCAAAAAAACAGAACAAATTATTTGGGGGTAATTACCAACTTGCTGCGCTAGGTTTGATTGAAAGGTCTACATGATTAATTCATTCACTCATTGAAATAAAACATACAACACGTGCCAAGTTTCAATTTCTTGGGAACTTTGGTTCATTAGAATAAAAGTCTTTATAATTTATCATTTTTTTTTAAATTATTAGATTATGTTTTCTAATTCTACCAACGAATCCCAAATAGTATGATAATGCTTGACATGTTTCTTAATTTTTTGGATCATCTCCAGTTCAGCTATTTAATGATGAAAATCATGATCATAATTGGTAGGTTTTTTAACTTAAGGGTCAGGGCATATGTGAAAAAGATACAAAGAAATAATCAAACGTATTGTGTTTTTTTTGTTGGGCGGTACCATGTCTACACAAGTATTCATGAACACGACCAAACTACTCCTAGTGTAACAAAGAGTCTTTACAGCGAGGCAAAAAATTAAATCATTGAGCACTGGACAGATATCGGGACACTATAGATGTCTTTGTGGAAAGTGTTATTACTGCTTAGAGGTTGCCACGTTACACGGTTCACCCCGTGGTATTATCAAACTAAGGCCTACATCGTTTGTTCTACTCCTATAAATTTCAATTGTTGGACTAAAGTTTTGTGGCATAGGTCATTTGAAGTGCATCTCCCAAATATCAAACTGGCTCTGTAATGCTCTGTGTCACGTACGCAGTGTCTATGTTTAAGATAGTTTTTGAAATTGTAATTGACGTGATGCAGGGTATATTGCACAGACACCAATACACTTTGATTGTTTATGTCACAAAGCAAATAATATGAATATACATTTGGAGACATTGATCAATAAATATAATTTTCAATTGAAGAACGTAAATATGCTCCTTTTATTCATTTCGATTTGTCTCAAATGATACATTATTGTTATAATAATAGCAACGGTTAAATATGTGAGTTTTATTGACATTATTTATGTGTACCATAGAGGCAGATCTGCGTTATGCTAAACGTGGAGACCGAATGAAAGTTGCTTTTAACCATATATATTTCGTAAAAAGATATGCTCGCTAAATAATACTAAGATACTATTATGTGCCTTTCGCATATATTATTATATTTTGATGTTGTGTTTATGTGATTTGATTAAAGCTGTTTAAAGCCAGGTGATTACCCAACGAATAATTATGACCTATGAGTAACAAATGCCCTATGCAGGTGACATTGAACATCTCGGGAATATCATATTTGGTATATCTTCTCTATAGCCCAAGGTTGATTTAAGATATATTTCAATAAAAGCGAGAAAAAATATTTCCATAATCATAAATTATATACATTGGCAATGCCAGGGAATAACCAGTCTAAATTAACCGTCAAAACATTCCTTTTGACACCAGACATCTCTGCTTAAAGTTCTTTGTACGATTTCGACTATAACCTAAGCATGCGTATGAATCACCTTCCAATAGTGATGAAAAGGTGAACGTATCCTGTCCCAATGAAGGCACCGTCACAAACACATGCGAATGCAAGCCGAAATAGACTTGTGCTCCTCGAACATTGCACGCCATGAAGAGAAAGTTGACCATTGAAAAGATGAAGACATCCCTTTGTCGTACAGTCATGTGGAGAGTTTTGTTATATAGATAAAACAGGTTTCGTTCTATTGGTCTCCTTTAATGCTAGTTGGGGTTGGTAAATCAGGGCAAAGGAATTGACCATTATTGAACCATTGATACACCTGACGCATATGTTAAATTCCTTGTTTTAGTTTGTAAAATCCGAGCAGAAGTTCCATATGCATAAAGGAACAGATGAGCAAGAATGGGATCACAATTGGTGCCCATGGGAATACCTACACATTGCCTTAAAGTCCAAGTGTTGCACAAAGAGGAAGTCGAGCATTTCACGTATTGTTTTATGCAGTACATTTCAGAGGGAATTTGCTTTACATTTTGACAAATTGTCCTGAACCTCTGAAGATAATGATGTAACTCTATCTGTGTCCAGCATATTAAGTAACATGCCCCATGGATCTCGGACTGCATTAATTCCGTTGTGTGAGAGAGTGGTATACAAATTTGAAAATCAAATGTTTTGACATAACTGAACTTGGTGCCTTTCTGAGATTGCCAAAAAACATGCAAAGGCTCTGAGTATTTGTGAACAATATACATTCCGCTTGTTTTAAATACTTTCTGTGAATGAAAAGAAAGCACTTCCTTGACTGTCACAGGGATTGTGGTTAATCTTTGGGACATTGATTTGATTGTACGTTTGCTGGACCATCTAATACATCTGTCTTTGTACGGAGTTTTATGGAGCCTTGGAATCCAGTACAAAAGAGGAATAGACATGTCTTCAGGTTTTTGTGTCAAGCCAAATAATGATAGAACTGATGTATGTTTTTGGCAGAACAGGTTGGAGGCTGCTGACGATATGTTGGTCCATATTTGAAAAATGGACGAAGGTAATTTTGTCAACAATGAAATAGTGTTCCTGCAGGAAAATGAAACTGTTGGTGTTTCCTGAAATTTGAAACATTGTGGGATATTTTGGGAAAATAATCTTTCTGTCTACATGAAGTTAAGGCATCGATTCCCTTGGGTTTTTTTGAAATTTCAAATTAAGGAACGCCTGGTTTTTGTTTTAATTAGTGAAGTCTGTTTCTCGTTTGGCCAAACGTTTTCAGGAAATATCAAGGACTATACGCTCTTGTCGATACTGTGGTCTATTGTGTTTAAACCCATCCATCAGCAAACTGTGGTCCTGTGTATGATTCCGGCTTTTTCATAAGCATGTGTTTATGAATCACTATCAAATCACTAGATAGTAGCGTTATCGTTTTGTTTTGAAAAAGAGACATATAAGCAAAAAAAGCAAACTTGTTTAAGTAACTGAAAATGAAAAATGAAAAATAGTATAACAAATCTCACTTAAACAGACACTTTTTGTCGAAAATTTAAAGATAGTGTGTTATGCTGAAATAACTTTGCATTAGGGCAGCTAGGCGAACATTGATATCGCAACTGATATCATTGGAGTATTGAGAAATGTGTTGTACATCAGTTTTAAGTAATCATCACATTTATCAACTATATCGTTGCTATTCATAGATGCCTCCAGTAGTCCACGTGACCCAAATCCAACGTAGATTATATCGCAGACGTATTTGTTAATTTATTAAAGCGAAATTATAACTTAAATTCACTCATCATTAGTGAGAGATAATTTTATTCCTTTCTTAATATATTGATAATATTTTCCTTGCTAAGCGAATATGAACACCCTTAGGAAGTGATATTTTAATAGCTTGTATTGCTGATGCCAGCACACCATGCAAACTTGCATTTTACTGTCATATTCCAGTACGTATAGCATGTGTCACCAAAGAAAGACGTTGTTATTATCGATTGATAAGTTATGATTTATTCGAAGAGTGGGACCTTTGCAGTATTTCGAAATGTTTCATATCACGTAAATATGTAGTTACAAAGCAGGTTTTTGCAATTATGTCCGGTTTGGTACTTCAAATGAATACACACACAAGCACGTGCTTTGTCACTTTTTCCACTCTTCAAGGAAACCTATTTTCCTGCAGCAGTATCGGATCTGGCATGTGTTGTTTATAGTTCCATTTCTGCCCTGGTTTGCGGGTATCAGAACATAACGTGCATTGGTTATCATGTCGGGGTTGGCAACACCTAGTTTAAACAAAAGTGAAATATTTTTGAAAGTAAGAGAAAGATGTATTCAAATTAACTTGTAGCCTTATACGTACAGGGCAGTCACGATGCATTATACATTTGAATATACAGAGAGGTAATCTGATCAATGCGTTTCCTTACTCATTTCTGAGACAATTTCTTGTGATCTCCTTGTTGACAGCAAGTATCTTATGTGCAACATATTACATACTGGTTACAACTGATCTACTTTAACATAAGAAGTTACAGTAAATCTACATGTCAGGCGCATATAAGTCATGGAAAGGAATGTTGAAAATAGCAAGCTGTAACAAGTTTAGTATAAAGTCTGAGTTTTTTTCTTTTGTCTCCCCTCTTATTCTCCACACTCACCCGTCGCCAATACGCATGCATGACGCTGGTCTCCAAGACTACATCATGGTATAAATGGACAAAGGCGCAGTAGATATTACAGAGCGGTCAGAGAAGGGAAACAACATGCAGCTGTTCAGAGTTCCACCCTATTTACCTTTACTGGGTAAGTTGGCAATCATGAAAGTCATTTCCTTTTTTAATGTGTAATGATTATTCTAACGCTTAATACAAGGAAGTAATGTGGAGAACAATTGCATAAACGATTCGTTAAATAATGTGCATTTAAGACTAAAATTTTCTACTGGTAGAAATGTAAATTGTGAAATATTTCTTCTTTAACTTAAATAACAACTGTATACAATGTGACAGTTTCATATGAACATGCAAATACACTAATATAGGAAACGTCACACATGATCTCTTGTCTTTGTGTAAACATGCTGGACAGTTTACATGGCGTCTATGAAGCATTCACGACTGACGATACAAATTGTAAATTTATTTATTCTTACATTTAGAAACAAATTAATAAGCAACAATGTTAAACATAATAAAACAATAGAAATACATGAAATTTCACACTTAATGCTTTTTCGTAGTTTTAACATGCTGGGCAGTTCTCCAAGGCGTCTCTGGGTCGTGCTCGACTGACGGTGAATGCCATTCAGGCTCATGCGACGCAGGCACCAGCAAATGTGACTGTACCGATACTGGGTTTAATGGTGACAACTGTGAAACTGGTAAATATGTTTCCAGTAGTTAATTCTACTTAGAAATGTCCACCCATTTATTCAACATAAATAATCTTTTACTGTTAGCTAGAAATGTGAACATGGGATTGAAGATAACGACGTGCATATGATATGACGAATCTTTGTGCCAGTGATACATATTGGTACATAGAGATTACTAAACGTTATCCGATGGAATAAAACATGTATCTTTCACGAGCGTTGTACTTATAGTAAATGTAGCTGTGTGCAGTTATACGTCAATAAAAGACACAACTGATGACATAATGGTGTATGAAAACATACTACCTGATGTTTGTGCGCTGAAACATGTAGGTTAATATAACTGTTGTCCTTCCCAAAAGTTTCGTAAACGTCCAAAGCTCGTTATCACACAAATTAAAACAATCTGTTGACAAAATAAAAACATTGCCATAATTCTACTTTCAAGGCGTGTTGGTTAAAAGGGAGGCTACTCTCGTTTTGAAACATGATTGTCTGGTTCGAACGTTCTGGGTTAAATGAGGTTGTTGCACATTCTCCAATTGTGTGGCATGGTAGTCAGCAATTACGGGATCTCTGAATATAAACATTTTGAAATGATTTCAGTGTAGTCAGGTTGATGAACATCAGCACATACTATTGATCGTGTACTAAATTGTTTTAAGGGCTTGACAAATATTCGTGTGTGATTGTAGCGTTAGAACAAGGGCCAATGTTTAAAGCAAGTTTTGTGACCATGATTCGAATATTTGAAAAGCATGTGTCAGTGCTTCATCGATGAATCGTTCGTGCCAAGCAGAAGTGTATTGATATCGAGAGCACATCATTCGACTCGGTACACATATATCAGATACCAAAGTGTCGTGTGAAGATGTGTGATAAGTGGTGTTATAGACCATGATATGCTGTGTTGCCACAAGAGTACGATTTATAGTCGGCTGACAATGTTTCCTACTAATTGAAGCTTGAAGGTCGGAAAATGAGTAACACTATTGAAATAGCATGAAGACAAAAACTCACTCTTGTTAAAGTGAATTAGTCATTTGTGTTTATTACATTCGTTTGATATTTTTATTTTTTCAATTACCATTCCGAGGTCGAATTCTTAAGTTATGAAGTGATTGTATAAATGTAGCAGTTTACAGTTATCATTACATCAAAATACATTTGTGGTTATGCATTTTTCTACACTAGATATCAATGAATGTACAGCAACTGATGCCCCCAAACATGACTGCCATAAAGATGCTGACTGTACAAATACGCCTGGATCATTCACCTGCAAATGCAAGTCTGGCTATGTTGGAGATGGAAAGACTTGTACACGTTAGTCTATATTCAGTGTGTTTTTTTCTCTGACATTGTTATATGATTGACCAGCTCCTTTCCGTTATACAATTTGAAAATTGCATTTATTTCGATATTCAGTATATGTTTGACTCTTTGCAGTAAGCAAGTGTGATGATACTATTTTGTGCATATTCCTTCGTGTTTTAGTTGGCGTGTGCTCCTCTAATGGCAACGAATGTTTAAATGGTGGGACATGTGATATCCCCTCGGATGGGACTGCTAGTACATGTAGCTGTGCAGCTGGATATACTGGTACACTTTGTGAAAGCGGTAGGTATAAGATGTATATATAAATATTTGTCTCTTCTTGTTTGGATTATACACATAACCGTTATCAGTACATTGTTTTAAATATTGTTTTCATTCCTTGGTAGACATTGATGAGTGCAGTACAAGTGCTGATGCCTGTGATACAAACGCCGACTGCACAAACACGGAAGGATCCTTCACCTGCAGATGCAAGTCTGGCTATGTTGGAGATGGAAAGTCTTGCACAGGTAAATATATATTCAGCGTTGAACTTTCTGATACTGTTGTATAGAAATCCGATTTGTCTACCATTGATGCTCCAAGAAACGAAACTATGTTGGGCCATGCAAATGTGTATGACTGAACGACGGAATGAAAATGGAACGAAACCGTCTGAATACAGAACCAAAACGTTTCGATAGTAGTTTCGAACATACTTCAGTTTGTACATTTCTACAATAACACAATTTCGAGAAAATATATCAAAGTATAAAATATTTCTGTACCATCGTATCTCTTATTTAGATATGACAACAGAGTGGACTAGAGATTCGTGATAACAGATGTTGCGTGACAATCACTGAACAGACATGTATGATAAATATGAGGTCACATTTTTCGTTTTCATAACGAATTAATACATTTCGAATTTACGTCGACCACATTCTTTTAATCTTGGTCGTTTCTAGCCGAGGTTGGCAGATACATTATTCTCTTGAAATATATTGTTAGAACTGTCTGTGTTACAACAACCCCTATTTTTATATCCATAAGTACAATTGTGTGAGATCACGCTGTCGAAACTGTCGATAGCTGTGATTGGTAATCTTCTGCATCTTATGTGTAGTATGTCCATCATTAGACACACGTTTTCAGCTTGACTCCATAAAACTTCTAAACCGTGTAAAGAAGAGTTTTAAATATTTTGTAACTGTAAACGTAGTTTATTTCAAGTCATTTTTTGTATTATGTTTAGTTTCTTTGCGGTCCACCATTTCTAACTTGTCTAAATGCAATATCATGAAGATCCGGGTTAGAATTGGTCTTCAGCAACCCATGCTTGTCGTAAGAGGCGACGTTGTGGTCACGCTCGCTGACTTGGTTGATACAATTGCGTTGATCGATGCTCAAGATATCAGTCACTAGATTGTCTGGTCCAAACTCTATTATTGACAAACTGCTGTCATATAGCTGAGTTCGGCGCTAACCAACAAACAAACAACAACTAAATGCAATATTGGTCCCCATTTATAACAAAGTTTCTTGAGCGTCAGTTTGTTACTGTAATCGTCCAACATAATTTGCAGAGTTAGCAATCATCAGCATCTAATAGCAGACATTTGTGCTATTAGCTCCTTGATATAGAATGAGAATAGAATTGGCTTAACCATACTTCCATGGCTGTACCCACACGCAGGGACAGTTTTTCCCAAATGTATGCATGTCAGGAAATGAATGTATAATCCGCATGAGCCAAGTTGAAAAAGTACGTATCATTCATCCGACTCATTTGCACAGATTACCCAGGTCTTGAAATATATGAACATTCAAGTGACTATGACGAAAGCCGATCCTGTTTCATTGAATTACTCGATTACTTGATTATTACAATCATTTGATGTCATAATGTACCTCATCAACAACTATCAGTCTGAGATGAGTACAATCTTTTTTTCTCCTCATTTTCCAGAGGGTGTATGTTCTGAGGGTGGAACAGAATGCGTCAATGGAGGAGCATGTGACACAAGCAGCACCCCCACCAAGTGTCAATGTGCGGACGGTTACACAGGAGACACCTGTCAGAATGGTGGGAAAACATTTATTATAAAGCATGTTCATGTGAATATTTCAAAAGCGTCATAATGCTCTTGCTCAAAAGTTCCTTGATCAGGGTTACAACATCCACGACCTCAGGGAAGCTTTCAAAACGTTTAAGTGTAGATAATATTATGTGGAGGAAATTTCCAAATTTGACGCGTCAATGACCATGGTATCCGATGCAATTTCCTGTTTTCATTGCATGTGTTTGGGATGGTGCCAACGAGTCTGATGACGCTCCTTGAAATCTTGGTGGAAAGAGTATGCTCGTTTGTATCTCAAAAGTTGCGACTTGTAAACACCAAATCCTGGAGCTGTTGGAATATGGCTTGATATGAAGGGAAAGTTGACTATTGTAAAGTTGAAGTCATCCCTCATGTCCATACAGTCTTGTGGAGAGTGTTTTGTCACTCTGAATCTTTATGTACAGATCTAAATATGAAACTGTTGTGGCAGTCTCACTGGTCTCCTTTATTTCTAGTTCAGGTGGGTAAATCAGTGGAATGGAATTGGCTATTTCATTGTTACTGAACGATATCAGATCATCAATATACCTGAAGCTTAGGTTTATCATATCGTGATGAATCGTGTTCGCGATACGGCGGCCTGTAATGATCGAGTCTGGACCAGACATTCCAGTGATTGACACTATGAACATCGATCTATGCAACTGTGTTACGATAACAAGCATCAACCAAGTTACCGATCTTGACCACCCGGTCCCGTTAGTTACATCTTACGACAATCATGATTTGCTGAAAACCAGTTCTTAACCGGATCTTCGCGGGTCTCTCAAACATGAAACACCCGAGGCGGTAGGGAGGTAAAACAGTGGAGGGGCATTGGCTATGATGGTTATTGAACAATATCAGATCATCGATATACGTAAAGCTTAAGTTAACACATGCTTATAGTCGGAATCGTACAATTGACTTTCTTCGGCTTTCTGTAAACAAGGTTATCTTCTGTTGGTATGTTATAATTATTGTAATGGTTTTGTGGCTTTAATATATATTATCGAACCCAAATGAAATATGGTGAATTTTAGATGTCATAGTGACAATATAATGAGAAACTACACATATTCTGTTAAGTGTCTGACCCAAACCCCCGACCACAAACGCTGCCTGGGATTTAAACTAAAGAAACATTATTTATATACTAGTACTGTTATCTAATTGGATCTTTAACCATCTGACTAATGTGATGTGGGAAGATCTCTAAAAGCAGTGGTTATCATCACATACACGATATAAACAATTGACAAGTTGTATATTAAGTGCAGAAACACAAATGGTTCTTGAGTTTTCCTCTTGAAATGAAGCCTTCATTGATTTGAACGTAACGTAATATTGTCGTAAATATTCGAAATAGCAAAAGGCACCTGTTTAAGGGTAGTTTGATACATTTGCAAAGTTTGATCAGGAAATATTAAACGCCCTTTGTTTTATGCAAAGGAAACAATGTCTACAATCATTGGAAGTGGGAAATCACAAGAGATGAAAATGGGAAATTTCAGGAAAAAACTAAGTGTTGATACAGCCATGGTTCACATAGGTTAAAATTTCTTAAATCTGTTCCATAAATAAATTCCATTTTTGTCGGTACACGTTCTCTTTTTCAGCTGGAGGTACGGTGAAGATTTCAGCATACCTAATGGCGTTGACTGTTCTCACCTTTTTCGTCATCCTGTGAAATGACCACACACTGACTGCCGCATCCTGCTTGAACTGCGTTCTTGTTTGAATTGTTGAAATGAAATATGCTGATGAAAGAAATTAGGGAACAGAATGTGATATTCGGCTATGTATTCATCACACCAGATGCTAAAATGTCACTCACTGAAATGATTTTAAATCAAAGATGTTTACTTTTAAGGAAACATTATTCCACTATAATTAAATGTTTGCGTTATTTTGTTATATGTGTATGTCATTGCTTACTTATTCCGTTTTGTTCGAATCAAAGTATGTAATAGTTTGTTGTGTTCACTTCCACGTGTGCTATTACCATAAATATGGTCACATTTGATTCAAGTGGAATCACAATGAACTGATTGTTATCATCTCACTGTAGGCAAAAAGGCAAAATTCCTCCCTGCATACTTCGGCTACATATAACATGTTACTGATGACGTGGATCTCTCTCCGAGTGACCACTGACACAGAGTAAATGTTATCTTCTTTTTACTTACAGTGACACACAATATCCACTAAAAAATCTTCAGATGTGCAGTAATGTTTTATTTCCAATTTTTGTAACCCTTAACAAATAAACGTCACATGCAAGTTTTTTTATCATCGTTGAGTTGAATTTATTTCTAATCGTTTTCACGAAGGCAATCGCCTGCTAGAAGTGATTAAACATTTAACGTCACCTAGGCAATATCTCAGCCATGTAGCGACGAGAACATATAATTACATATTGATACAAATATGTTTTTTGTTTGTTTGGTATTTAACCACATATATTAACCAGCAATATAACGGTGGTCTGTAAATCATCTAAGAGTCTGGACCAGACAAACCAGTGATTAATCTTATCACGCCGACATACTATCAACCAAGTCAGCGGGTCTGACCACACGATTCATTAAGTCCCCTGGTGCAACAAGCACAGGTTACGAGGGATCCATTCAAAACTCCTGTTGGAGAGACAGGGCAAAGCAAAACGTGTTGACAACTTTATGAAGGGCCAATTAAACAATGTAGTTCAAACACACATGCACTATGAAGAATATGTAAATATTACCCTGGTATTAAAAAATCATATTTGCTGCTTTAGGATACGAGACTTTCGTTTTTATATCCCCCTCGTATTTTAGCCCATAGTCTTAAAACGGAAAAGTAAAACGCTCTTGAGCCAATGCGCTTAAATTAATTTGAAAGTTTAATTGATCTTCCTTTTCCAGATGTTCTTCAAAAAGTTTTGTAGCCCACATCTATATGGCCATTTTGCACCAAATTGCACCTTGGGCGTTGTTAGAGGTTTCAAGATTTACAAGACACACTGGTCCCCTAACGTAGGTGATATTCTGCATACTCAGCGTGACATTTTAAATGCATAGGGCAGGCACGCATTGGTGCAATATACGTTTGATGATATGTATTGACAGCTTGCATTGATCAATTCAATTGTGAACGTGTTTTGACGCATTAGTTTCAAGTTGAAAAAGAAAATGATGTCTTATGCTGTCGTATTTCATTTGTGAGTATTGTTTCATTAACGTGGGATATTCATTCGTTTTATCATGTTGTTTCTTTTTTCCCTTTAAACCCTGGGTTTGTAGTTTGGATAAACTGTTACTCAATTAAAATAGGCAAAATCCATAATTAATCAGTCCCCGTGCCTGATCAAAGCATCCCCATTTCGTTATTTGGTGCCTAGGCATTTTCAAGAGATGTATACCATTTAATAAATAGTTGAAGGCCATTCAAATATTGACAATCTCAGTTATCTAGTATATTGGGACAGAGTTTATTGAGCTGTAGCGTGTCAGCACCATATCTATTCTCGTTTTTTTTTATGAAAGCGTAACGTGTTAGACCTGAGCCAGTCTAACTCACTCACACCAACATTCCGGCTGTAAAGAAACATTGCATTTCTCAGCCACCTCAGAGCACTGCGGTGGTACGTGTAGTAGCGCTTTTATTGAATCTTCATTTGCTTGGGAATATTAATCTCAAATAACCCCAAAAAATATGCCACCATGCCGCATAATATATGGTATTCTACTGATATGTACAATATTTTTTATCAATTCTAATACATAGTTCTTATTAAACTAGCACCTGATGTTAACACTGTAATTTTATGACTCTTCAATTAATTCAAGAATTGCCTTTAAGACACCTTATGTATGTATATGTGGCCTGCGTAATACAATTGCGTGTCCTGTTTGTTGTATAACGCCTCACTCAGCAATATTCCAGCTATGTGACGGCGGTCTGTAAATATATCGAATCTGGACCAGACAATCAAGTGACTGACATCATGAGCATCGGTCTACACAATTTAGATACGATTACATGCATTAACATGGTCAGCGAGTTAGTTAGATACTTCCTATTCTAACACGGATCTTCACGTACAATAGCATTTAGTGGAGTAACTTGATATGAATACTTCAGAAGCTCTTCTTGACGCATCTGTATGTAAGGCTTGGCGATATGTTTGTTTGTTATAAAACGCCGTTCTCAGCAATATTCCAGCTGTTTGATGGCGACATGCATTAGACAAACCTGTGATGGGTTTTATGCCCAACGATCAACATCATCGGGGCATCATGTCACGCCCACAACCAAGTCACCAGGTCTGACCACCCGATCAAATCATTTGCCTCTTGCAGCTAGCATAGGTTTCTTGGAACCCGTTCTAACCAGGAATCCACGCTGAGGTCGTGGCAACTTACACGACCGCTTTTCAACACCCTCCTGCTTATATATTCATAATAGCGAAAGCAGATCCCCACAAAACAATCACAGTATCTCGGACATTAAAGGACAACATAAAACTGCGTGACATGTGTTTTTTTATTAATCGTTTGAAGGGCCAGTGTACACAATTTCTATTTAAGTAGATGTAACGTCGCATTTAATAATAGTTCACTGATATAGCGATGTGTGTGTGTGTGTGTGTGTGTGTGTGTGTGTGTGTGTGTGTGTGTGTGTGCGTGCGTGCGCGCATGTGTGTGTTTTTGTGTTCCATTATGTAGAACAAAATGACCCGTCCTATGTTTAGTCCGGTCAATATAGTGTCAAATCCTACCAAACCCATCACAACTTGCAATCGAAATTATCTTTCCTGTTTCGTGAACAGGAGGCATCCCCTCATACCATTATTTTTTGTAATCTTTTGCATTTGATACTTTATAAAGTACTTTACAAATTACGTTTACTTGTTACTTTAATTATCTTATGTACCTTGAGGAGTCATAAAATGGTGTGGACTGAGAACATCATGCAAATGTTAACGTAACTGAACATTATTTAAAATGGGCCTGGCACTTTAAATTTAAACAGACAATTACAAAAGTTACATTCTTCAATATACTAATGTTACTAAGCTTATAACGATATGTGTATTTGATAAGATCCTACTTCTTGCAGGTTGTGTTATCCATGGATAAGTGTCCTCTCTGTCAAGAAAATTTTACAGATGAACAGGACACTGTAATATTTGGAGAGAAAGGAAGCTGTGGAGTTAGGCTAGTTAATGGAGTTAAGCTAGTTCTGCTCACTGTGTCTCAGGTGAAACTGCATACAAAATGTCGGAGTAATTATTGCAATCCAAATTATATTTTGCAAGCAGCAAGAAACCTGAAAAAATATATTCTCACAATTTTAACGTACTTTCTCTTTAAAAAAACTTGGGGGGGGGGAGATCTGCAAAATATTCCAGTAAGAAGAATATTTTAGTTGTGTTTCCCATGAGAACTAAGGAATTTGGAGAAAAGATTAGAAGAACATGCATGACAAGAAAGGATAAATGGAGTGAGAAAGTGTTTTCGAGATGGGGGTTTGCACAATACCTCCAATGCTATCGATGCTATATGTCATAAAACATGCAGTGGTAACTTTAGGGCAAACAAAGATATAACCCGTCAATATTCCATGACGATGATACACCGAAAAAACTAAAATAAGAAAAAGAAGGAAGCTTTCTTGAAGACAGCTGAAAACCTAGACAGGTATCAGTTCAAGATCAACTAATGAAGATGAGAAAGTGGCATTTGTAATTATATTTCAAAAAATAACACCATTTAGAAGTATTATTTAAGTGATTACTAGGAGCCATACACTTCTTTTGTATATAAATGGTGTCATAAACTATGCTTTTAAAATGATATACTTTCCTTAGCTCCTCTGTTTAGTTGGCGCCCTCATCTCCAGTTTTTAGTGCTCCCTATACGAATATTACTGGTGCCTTTGATGATAATTTAAGTGAATTGCAGCTAGGGAGCCTAAAAAAATGTACTAAATATAATAAATTCGGTTTACTTCAATAATGTCCCTAAAATTCTTTGGAAAGGTTAGTATAACAAATTGCTGATACTCCATAACATTAAAAACATTAAACCATGATAACCTTTCGATTAGTGCTGCTTTGTATCACTGACACTTATTTTCTGGAAAAGGAACAGACCATAAATAACACTCCTAACATAAATAACATGGATGCAAGTCGGTGCACGTCCTGCTGCTCAACAGTGTGGCTCCCCCTGCAAAGTGGAACGTCAACTGTAAACGTCTAGACCGGAATAAATGTTTCACCGATGACACGTACCAAAGGCCAGAAGCACAGGAAAGGTACACGTCCCGTGTGTTATTCTGACCTGCACATCAGAGACTCGTGTATTTGTCTTTTATGTAACAATGGACCTCACTGGTCCTCACTAATTCGTCTTTGGCCACTGACCACTCACAAAGAATAAATGTTTTCTATTTCTAATTTAAAATAACAAAGGATTATTGCCTATCCACCAAAAGCGTTATCGTGTTTGGCCTAATGAATAATGCTAAATCATATTGAAAAGGAAAGAAAGCGACATCACTTGTTATCTTGTTTATATTTTCAGTGAGAAAATATCTATCATCAGCAGTATTCCATATAAAGGCGGTCTGTAAATAATCGAATCTGACGATGGCAATCCAGTGATTAATTTCATCGATCTACACTATTGGGATACGTTAAGATTATCGAGTCATTGCAGACAATTAAAATATGTTTGACAGTAAAACCTATTTTCACTCTTGATTTCCTGTTGTATGTATTTGGGCGAATGTTTAACAGTGCTTAAACGTGATGCTCGATTGCGCGTGTTAACGGCGGCCGCTTCCTGGACAAGGGGAAGTAATCCTGTTTGCGGATCATACGAAGCGATCGTACAATACTCATGAATGGAATTTCAGTAACAAAATACAAGAAGGGATATGTTTGGAGGTTGGTCCTTTTGACCTTCAGAAGACATTTAGGAAGTAAATTTACTGTGTATTTAAATTTGGAACTCTACAGTGGGACTACATCAAATTTCAAAACACAGTAGGCTTATCTCAATTTTACCACGACAGCAACACATGTTTTGAAAACGGTGCTCACGCGCAACGCAACAGGGTACAAAGGTCCGAGAAGTGGTCACAGGTCGTTACATATGCAACAAATATTACTCAAGTTCAAAATCAAAAATCCCATAGTCTGGAGTAGTTCAAAATAAGCGTTCAAAACACATAGTTTCTTCAAAAAGAAGTTGACAAATAACCCTCCGAACTTCGTCAAAAGATGAATTAAGATTC